CCTCCGCCACCCCCATTACCTGGCCTGTTGCCTCCTCCACCACCTCCGCCACCTCCATTACCTGGCCTGTTGCCTCCACCGCCTCCGCCTCCATTTCCCGGCTTGTCCCCTCCTCCACCACCGCCCCCTCCTCCATTTTCACACATATCTAGGAGACTCTTGAAAAGCACCTTAACGTAATCACAAAGACACCCTCCACTACCTCCGCCTCCACCATTACCGCCTCCACCTCTCCCGCCCTCACCGCGGCCGATAAAATTTTCGTAAAAGATGCGCCAGGGGTCGTCTTTGGACAGTTCACTGATCTTTCTCCACCAGTCTCCTCCAGATTTCCGCCCCCTCATCATTCCTCCCATCTCTCCTCCCATCATGAGGCTCTTCTTCGCAATTTCATCTCCATCTCCATCACTCACCCTCTCCATCTGTGGAAGAAGACCCTTCTTGACGGCATGCTGATAAAGCTCATCCTGTTAAAATTGGAAGACAAGATTGAAAGCTGAAAGCCTGTCACGGTCGCCAGGTTCATTAAAAGTGGGAACTGGGGTTTATCATGTTATAGAGTTGGTGTAAGAGGGGTGCATTTCACAGGGCCCAAAATCAGCAAAAGCCTATAAATTACGCACAGGCTTACTGCTGCTGGTAGTTATAGGTACCAATCATTTACCATGAGCGCATGTGTAAATTCTAGTCGTGGCCATGGACATCGGACGCGGCCGAGGTACAGGGAACATAAAGTAATTTTCATGAATAGCAACATTAAACTGCTTTTGAAGTTACACAAAAATTATGAAGTTCCGAAGTACTTTTTCATTTGCATTTTCTGAAAATAACGAGTCTTTACGAATATAAGCCACGAAGCCAATAAATCAAATACTTGGCAAGATTTTAATGTAACCCCCCTTCCCCGATCTCAAACAAATTACAGAGTTAGCATTATGTTCGGAGAGATTCACTTGCTTGCATGATGCAGCCATTTGAAGAAAAAACTTTCAACTAACATTGCAAACTATATTTCTGACATTGAACTTGGCCATGTTTGATTTTTTAATTTCAAGTGCCCCAAAGTTTGGTGTCATGTCACAACCTGCAATCCCTTTCCCCAACGCATATCGGTTAAAACAAGAAGGCAAATTTTTTCCATACATGGTGTTTTCAGCGACGCGGGAGTATACGAATTTTCCCTCAGACTGCAGAGTTAGGCTTAATTGTCACCTTTTCACAGCATTAAACTTTTAAAAATCTGCGCACGTGCACTGGATTCAGAGTAACTGACGAGTGCTTCTCTGTCATGAATGAAACCCAGATGACTGGGCTAACATTTGCATTTTGCACTCGCCAAACAGCGACAACACTCCAATTGTCTCTCCTCGTACAAGGCGCGGCCTTGAGCTGGAATTTGGGTTGAATATTGAGCCGTCAACCTTTCTCCTAGCCATGCGACACTGAGTTATAGAGGACAATGGTTGTTGCATAGGTGTAAAGGGGTGGGGCTCCAAAGGATTACGAGCCACCAGCTAGCCGCCCAGCTTTTGTTTCTGTGGATTTCAGACAAAAGGGGGAACTTTCAAGTGGCTCTATTTTGCAGTGGAGTTTAGGAATCATTTTTCAATCATCGTGATCGTGTATGTTAAATGACGATCATCTTCAGAGGGAAATTTCCCCCGAAAAGTCATTGGCTAAGCCATTGCAAACCGAACAAAAAAGAACACCACAAAAACGGACTTTGATTCGTCTCAAACACCTCAGAAAGTTGTGAGTACTTTCCCCTTCTTCAGGGGCATGGAAGTCAGTTCTGCACGAATGGGGGCGCTTTCGAACAAACACACGTAGACCAATAAACGGTGGATAATGTGTGTGCGATGACGAAACGTTCACACGGGCTAAAAGCTGCAGGAAGTCAATCGAGTACCAGGATTTCTACTCCTTCGTTTCTTTCCACGCCATGGCCACTGCTACCAGCACTTTGACAATTGGCCTTGTCGACGAGCCCTCTATCGGCCGCCTCGAGTTAAATCTAGAATCCCTGCCTGACAAGGGCGCTTTCATACGCAGCTAGAAGAATTCCGATGTCCAAATTCCGAAGACGAAATCTTTCAGGGGATGTAGGCATGTGTGCGATTTTGTGGCAAACATTTCCAAAAACTTAGTCGCGCATAAGGTATAAATGGTCGCGCATAAGGTATAAATTAGTTGCGCATATAAATTAGTTGCGCATAAGGTATAAATTAGTCGAGCATAACGTATAATTATACCAAGACCTACACTAAACTTATTCTGATTGTTGTGCTACTTCAAATTTCTGCATGCCTACATAAACCAAAATCCGTTGATCTCATTAAGCAACTTTGCCAACTTCCAGTCCTATCCTTTTTCCCGTGGATTGTAATCTTAAAGTTCTTAGTTCAAAAGTTAAAGTGTCTAAAAACTTCAAGGGAGTATATAATTAATAGGGATCATTAAAATGTACTCTCCCATCTTTTTAAAGAAATGGGCCGTGTCCGAAACGGGCTTCTAAACCTACGGCTAGGTCTATCGTCTACGCGTCTCCACGCATTTCCAATGGAGTGAAGACCTAGACCTAGCTCCGGATGCAGCTGTGAAGTAAAATCAAATTACACGAGAGGTAGACGTACGTCCCGTACGTAGTCTCCAGACGTCTTACAGACGTTCTCCGAACGTAGGGACCGATAACGGGTGATAAATCCGGCAGAATCCTGCCTGGTGTATGTGAATGAGGTAACGATGCCCGCTCAATGCAAAATCAAGCAGGAGCTGATAGCACATTTCGTTTTTTTTTTCTTCTTAGTTACCAAAATAACTTCACCATAACACAATAACCGCTATTTGAAATAAATTGCCGTAAAATGATAAATCGATGATAATTATTGAAAAATAAATAACTAAACTGTGATCAAAAGAGGCCTAGCATGGATCGGTACTTGTGTTTTATTCGCCTCCCGTTGAAACGTATTTCATGTTAACGCATTGCTATTGGCCTGACAAAAATTTGAATATTCATAATCCAAATTGACTGGGCTAATCACGTCAAATTGCAGTTTGCAACCGGTCCCTATAGTATAGGGACGGGCACCAGTCCACACTAGAGTGTGCTTACCACAAGTTCGTGCAAATCAATGGCCTCGCGAAGATCCTTCTTGACGTCATCCGGAGACATGGGACTGACTAGGGCGACACCTACATCTCTCTTGACTGGCAGAGCGGACGAGCTGCTGGTAGCCAGTGCCAAGAAAATCAACGCTACCCTAACCATGCACCATCCCGCCATGTTGGCCCTGAAATGCCCCGATTGACGGTGTCGCAGCCCGTGCGCCGACGGTAACTTAGTCTGCGGTTCCTCAGTGGCCACCGACGGTATTGGCTTGTCGCGTCGGATCCGCTGGGCACTTCGCTTGAGGTCGGGCTTCGTACCCTCACTGCTAAGTGCATAGACGGCTAATGGTTTCCAAAGCAACAGGCCCACACAGGTCCACCAAACAGTCTAAACAGAATGGGTATGAGTGGAATGGTGGGGCTCTCGCGTGCCGTTTGTTCAACTTTGACTTGATTTGGCGCACCCATTTTTCTCGTTATCACTACAAATATCCAGAACGGAACATGATGAAGTCGGTAACATCAGACCCAGAGGGTGTCCACTTGAACGACCCCGGGCAACTGAAACCCTTTTTCAAATTTTGGCTTCTTTCTGGCGTGGGTGTCTGTCTGGCTCGAGGACTATTTTGCCAATATTCGAACGGTAAAAGGCTCATAAACAGCTGAATATTGCTGCAAAATTTATCTGTGGGCTTATCTGTAACCTGCTAAGTCTTCAACCTGAATATCAGTAAGCTTGAAGCCGGAAGCCGAACAGGAACAAACCTTAGATTTTTAAAATGGCCCTCGTCACAGCAGGAATACAGCGATGCATGACGGGTCCAAAATTAATCGCTGGAAGAATAGCGCATGCTGCAGTGGTGCATTAAACTAAGGGTGGGGGCACGGGGGCGCATGTGCCCACCAACAGATGCCCCTGGGGTTCCCCCCCCCAGCCTTTTGAAATCTGTGAATAATCTCCGTTGATCTTATATAGCTTTTCAGCTGCAGTTTGGTTTCTGGAAAAAAACGTGCACCCCCTGGCGCCCCTGGACATTTAGCCCTAGTTACGCCTCTGGCGTGCTGTGAAATTCACTTTGAAATTGCAAAATGCCAACAGGCCGCCCAAATTGTGTGCTTGAATTGTGAACTGAAGCTTCAAAGTCCCCCGCTGAGCAATCCTCCACGGTCCCATTCAGTATCTGTATGCAAATTTATGCTAATACGCAGTCACACCACGACCTGTCAAATCACAAGGGTGAAGCCAAAATGCATTTCATAATTGCATCAGTCCTGTTATCTTTATTCATTAAAGAAGTACATTCCTCCTTTTTTTTTGCTTCATAAATATTCCATCCTTATAAATATTCATATGTGCCCCCTTCCATCTGTTTCAGCATACGAAGTTACACATCTTCACGTATACATAAACAAAACCTTAACACAAAAGCATTTTCTCCATTCCCATTGGGCAAAAGAAATGCTCCAAACCGTGCAGAAAAATGTACTTTGAAAATGATTTCGTTTTTGTTTTTCTTCCGTTATCAACGAGTCACACTGTTTTCCCGATACAACGCATTGCCAGAGTTGTTCGGCGTTACATTTAAAAGTGCCGAAAATCTGTTTAACACCAGCATCTTTGATTTAAGGGAGCATGGTGCTGGTCTTAAAAAAAATACAAACACTTTACACCAATAATAAAATCCGAAAGAATGTGACAAAAGAATATAATAAAACGCTAAACAACTATTTATGCCTTAGCTAAATAAAAGACCACGTTTGAGTTCAACTTGTACAGTTTAAAAGTACTTAAAACTCTTTGCATTTAAACGAAGTCAAAAACTCAGTCCTACATAATAACGTAATTAGACAACTAACTAATGAGGTGGGACAGAGTTGTTCAATTAAACGTGTTTAAACGTAATGCTGTGTAAGGCAAATAAACATCTTAGTTCGTATTTAATAAACCTGTAATGAATTTGACATATCCCCGAATCAAGGGCAAAGTCAAACACTGAAAAAAATTTATTCTGTGATTACAGTTCGACATTGTCACAAATTTGAAGATTATAGGCACACATTGGTTGCATATTTGCAGTCATTTCCCTTTTGGAATTACATCCCATGCTTCCATTGTAAATTTCTAATTTCAGTCGATTTCCAACGGAATTTTATTTCCTCAATATCAGTTGTAAGTTCGTGCTGATAATTGTTTAATTCTTGTCAGTGAAGGGCGTCATTTTCTTACGTAAGTATTGTAATTTTTTTTTAAATAATGAATTACCTTCGGCAATCTGAATTACCCAAGATGCACTGAACAAATACACCCCCGAAGCTTCCACTGCTGTGGCGTCAGTCGAACCCTCAGGCCAATCACATTTCCGGTTGATCGTCTCCGTTCTCTTTGATAGTGTCGCCCATGACATCAGGGAAAGGGACTAGCGCCCTCTCTGACAGTTTGCCCCAGTTGGAGAAATTATGCCGGTACCATTCGACTGCGCGTGCAAGACAAAATAACCCCCAAATCAATGATCACTTCTGACAATAGGAATTTCGAAAGTCACAATTCCATCTGCGTGAAGAGCTACTTGGCATATGTACAGAACAGACGAGTATTGTGACAGTAAAGGGAAGAAACACGGGACGTGTGGTCGCACGCGGCCTTTACGCAGACTGTGGGTACATTTCCGCCTTATCTTGCCAGGTTATGAAACAAAGATACATACTTTTCAGCGTGTATTTTACCCCTTTTCTCTTAAATTTAAAGGACTCTTGTGGCTTGGGTTAAGTTGCAAAACTAGGCCTATACTGATATGTGTGTAACCCATCGCACAATGAAACATAGAAATGTCTGCTGATAACAAACTTACTCGTAGTATCGAGTCCTTTATCCCAGGGCATTTTGGGATGCCAGCCAAGACTTCGCAGCTTGGAAGAGTCAATGGGATAGTCCTTATCGTTGTGCGGCCTGGGAACGAGGACAGCCATTAGGCAACTCAGTACGAACTGGTAAAATTCTCACTCACTGGTACCTTACTTTAAGACTAAATCTCGGTTTGTAAATACCACAAGGAAATTTGAAGCCTTTTACGATGAATATACAGCGTGATTTATAGTCATGTGGCATCTATCGTCTTTCATTAATGGTACCGAGAGAAATGTGAAAAAGATAACAAATTGATTAACACTATATTAAAATAGCGCCACCAACCACTACTGTTGATTTTTTTTTCAAGCTAACAGTCACTGGGACGTTTTGAAGCATGTAGAAGAAACTAGAAAGCATGACTTTCAGTCCTTACCTATCCTTTACAAATTCCATGTGATCCTCAACATCGTTGTCGTCCTTCCTCTGGCCTCGAATCTACAAAAAATGAAGCGTTATGCCCCACCCAAAGATCAATTATAATTGAGGGAGATTCACCGGGGGCAATGCGCTTGTCCCGTACGCCCGAGGAGCGCGCTGTGGTGGAATGGCCACATTTCCTCAGTTTGCTTGGCGCAGTTTCCTCGATTCCTCATTGGGTAGAGTTCGTCAAAATGTGGCACAGGTCACTGCTTTTATATGCGACTTTACACTTGCGCACAGAACTAGCGCGAGTACGTTATACCCATGAGGCCTTGCGACGTTTGTAGGCCTACTTTACAATTTTTCGTCAAGAGCTAATGGTAACACACTAAGGCGGTGTGGACTGGCAAACTGAGGCATGATATACGCCACGTTTTCCCCGGAGTTTCTTCAACATTTTGGTTTTCTTCGAACTATCGCTGTACAGGCCGGCCTCAGAAGTAAGCTACCCAACACTTTGCAGCGCCTTCGTTTCCGGTGCCGTCAACGAACTGTGACAAAGAGACCAGCAGTTGGAAAAGGGACACGACGGGACACTGTCTTTCGTTAAATTCTCGCGTTCAAATTCACCCACCTTTTTGGTTAGGGTCTTGGCTAGGCTGTTGACGGATATACGGAATTCCGTGCCGATGTTATAGATCTCTCCCACTTCTCCCTTGTGCAGCACGGTCAGGTAGGCTTCCACGGCGTCCTGCACGTACATGAAATTGCGGGTGCAGGTACCGTCCCCGTGAATGCAGCTTTGATGCAAATACAATTGGGAGAAAATAGCTCTAACTGTATAAATGACCGAGGTCTTGGTTTTCTGTGCTATGATCCATCAATGTGTTCTAAAGATTCTTTTGTCGTATGATACACTGGCTTGTGGCAAAATTATCTGTAAGTTGATACGAAGACGGTTACCGTCTATTGAAGAATTATGATAGCCGGGATCCGTATACGAGTGTGTGGAAGGATTTTTAAAGGAAGACTGTCTTTTTCGGACCTAAATTGCAAAATGTACTTATACAGATCGTCACTACAGAATTAGTCAAGCATGAATAAGAACACACGAGGAAAATATGAAGCCCAGTATCTTTTAGACAGTTTTTGTGGACGTGGCCATTAACGAGTGATCGCATGATCAGAATTTGATGACTTGATCAGATCGATGGTGACGTCACAGGTGCTTTTGGGCCAGCGCAAAGACTGGGTACCAGCACATGCAGAATTAGGCCCACAAGCGTGGGGAGGGGCATTCTCAGCAACTGGAGATTGTTTGTCCGAGACAAAATAGTACTTTGCTATACAAAATGGTATTGCAGATGCGAAGGCATAAATTGCCTGTAAAAATCGTGGATGATCGTAGCAGAAATCTGTCAGCTGAAAGCCCCCTTGGAGCACTTGTGACATCGAGATTCTGATCACATGACCACGCATTAATGGCCGCGGCCACAAAATCAGTTCTGCCTCATAAAAACTGTCTAAAAAATTCTGTGCTTCATATTTTCCTTTTTTAATCTTTCTTCTTGCTTAATTAACCAATCATTTAGCGACGATCTTGGTGCATTTCGCAATTTGGGCCCTGACAAAGACATTCTTCCTTTAAATATTTTATCTTACCACTTTTTGCCTCGCAGCAGCAGCCCGATAAATTTGGGCACGACTTTCTCGGGGAACTGGTGGGGGCCGTAGACGTTGTTGCCCCGTGTGATAATGACTGGGAACCGATACTTGTCCCAGTACATCTTGGCGATGATCTCCGCCTCGGCTTTGGACTTGGAGTAAGGGTTGGTAGGATTGAGGGGCGCCTCCTCCGTTAATGCCTAGGTATAGTTTACAGATGTTGAAATCAATATTAAATAATTAGGTATAACCAACACTGCTTTTTTTTCTTTTTCTTTTTTTCTTTTCTTTTTTTTTTTTTTTTTTGATTATGCTGAGCACACAAATTGGCCCAGTGTATAAAAGGCTTGCTAATGGGGAGCCATTAACTGTCAAAATATTAATATATGAGAATGTACCTTAATTGTGACGAGTTTTCAGGTGATTTTTACTGAGAGCGTCAACTACCCAAGCAACACCGATTTTGCCGAGAGACATTTCCTCATCTGCAGAACTCGACCATCAGCGAGCTCTCTCCTGATTCAGGTTGTGAAAGGGATGTGCTCTCGGCCACATTAGGAATGCTAGCGAGCCACAACAGTGCGCCTCCAAGAGTTTGCAACGCGTTTGCCAATCACAATGCGTGAAATCTATCCACCGTTTCCAAACGCATATTGGGCCGGCAGATTTCGTGCATCGTGATTGGCCAACACGTTGCAAGCTCTTGGAGGCGCACTATTGTGAATCGCCCGCATTGGGTAGAACTTATTTAAGCACTGCTCAAATGTAAGTCACGACCCAGACCGAGTCACAAGTAATATACACCCTACACCTGATATCACACAATTCTATTTCCCGCATAACAATGTTCTCCATACCAATTTTCTCGGTGAAATTCATTTCTTACCACTTTACTGTTACCACCGTAGACCTCATCTGTGCTGACGTGCAAGAAGAGGGAGATACCGCCGTACTGCTTGGCTGCCTCCAGCAGCGATCCGGTACCTTGCACGTTGCTCCGGATGAAGTTGTCGACACTCCTGAAGGAGTTATCTACGGTGAAGCAAGGTAAGGTGTAAGCACAGCACTGTAGCCCTGTCGTATTATGGGGAAAGCTTGAGGTCTTTGGACAACTCAGTTTTATTGATCGAGAAAGATTTGTGGGGCTACACTGAAAACAAAAAGTACATGAACCTGAACTCTGGTCCTTGTACATACTGCACACGTAGTCCCGCTTTTTTGCTTAGCACCATTAATTAATACTCTAAGCATGTATTTCTAAATGTTTACAAACTGGTAGAAAGAATTCAGTTGTCAGAAACGTCTAATTGCTAAATTTGGTTTCACAATTGAAGGCGATATACTCTTACTGGCATAATCAGAAAACTGTCCGAAAAACTGCTGACAGATTTACGAAAATTCCAAATCCGTACCGTCTACCCCATAATGCATCATTTCGATGAGCATTGGTTTCTTTTTATTCTATAATTAGCATTAAAAGCGTCGGCGTCATCGAAAATAAGGGGATGAAATGGAATTTTGAATCACAGTGGCGAATTATTACATTCGTTTGCTTGTGGAGTTCTGTATTTATTCGTTGTTTAGCCGATTGGAATGAGTTGTCTTACGTAACAGGCAGTCGTTCGTTTTATATAAGAATGTCTGCTCGGTTCAAGCATGGATATTACTGACCAACATGTGACTGGGCGGCAAAGTGCAGGACCGTATCAATGCGCTCTCGCTGGAGTACGTGGCGGAGTTTGTCCCCGTCGCAGATGTCTCCCTACGCAAAAGGGGAAATGCTTCGTGAAATGCTGGTAGTGGCAATACCCGCATCATAACCAGTAAATCATTTCATCCGTAAAACTCTTGTTTTTATTACAATGGCGTGCAAAAAAATCCAAGGGTTAGTAGTTTAGGGATTGATGTTTGGAGGCTATTTGCAGTGCAGAATCTGTAGAAATAGGGGTTGGAATAATATCACTGCCTCTGACAAAAAAGCCGTAAACGTTTAGTTTCAGCGGATGTCCCCTTATCCGGAACAAGTTAGATCGGCGGTAATCTGAGGAGGAAAAGGCCCAAAATAATAGTGGCTCGAGTTCTACGAGCAATGGTGGTGGGAGACACGACCCGAAACTCTGACAAGGCTATCCCTCACATTTTTCGCATTTGAAGGCCTTTTTGGAGGCGTAACCTTACGTTTTCTCCCACGGGAGAGTGCTCAAATTTGGCACCCTCGTTTCTCGATGGGTGAAGTCCTCCAACCTGTAGTTTGAATCGTACACTGTGCTCGGCCATTTTTGTTGGACCTTCGACTGTGTGACATCATGATCGAACGAATTACTCACATGAATGAATTTGTAATTCGGCTTTGAAGCTATTTTTTCCAAGTTCTTCAAACACGAGCAGTACTCCAGCTACAGTAGGATAAAAGACCGAAAAAATCATTCAAACATTCCATCTCAACGCGCCCATGTTTCACCTTAAACCAAACAAAACATAATCTGGTACATATCTTGATTATTTGACTAAGGTCCTGTTTGTTTCGCGCAGATGCGGATCGTCATCAGTGATCTGATGCTGAGCTCGTTGACACCAGAACCCGTTCAGTGGATGGCCCGAACAAAGCTTCGGACCAACCAATGATCGAGACCCAGATCACTGTGAAACAAACAGGCTCAAAGCAACCGTATGATATAAAGGGAATCGATGTCGTAGTACCTCAGAACACGACACTTTGTACGCCTATATGTTTACCATCAGCTAGGACTGGGTCGAGACTGTCACACGAAACCACGCAGGGTGAGTTCGAGCGAGGACAGTTCGTCAACCACCGCCGATTTTGCCCCGGAACCCGGGGTGCATTTTGTGCATAGCGTACGAGGGAAAATCGACTGTGGCTCGAACTTGTCCTTGAATGCAACCATTGATCGTAGAGATCCATGCCATTTTACGAATGGTGCACATCTGGCTAAAGTGTTGGAACCGGCAAAATGGTACTTTAAGGTTAAGCATAACACACTTCAAGAAAACACTCAATAAAGATGGTCGAAATAATTTGCCTCTCTCAGAGGAAGAAGTCAGCAACCCACCTTGTCATAATTCACAATGTAATATTCTGGATACCTCTCAACCAGATTAGAAGTCACGTGACCACCACTAAAGTGTAAAAAAACACAATCCAACAATCCGTATCAAAATCTTCAATCTACCTAAATCAATAGCAGTGACGTGGTAGTCAATGGAGCAGCGGGTTGGAGAGTTGGTAACAAATGCACAAAAATTACGATAATACAAACAAAAGATGAGGGTTCTGAATAATGTGTTACAAATATACGTCCAAATCTATATTTCCCTCACGCCGTCTTCAAAGCCTACTTATAATCTGTTTGACCAGACCAACCGTTGCAGGTAGGCCTAATTCCGTAAAATACAGATGACTGTTAGGTCATTCTAGTCTGGACTTCAGCATGCCATCTGTCGTGACACGGCCTTTCAGGTGTAGAAAACAGCTCATAAAAATGCCATCACTGTCAAAACTTACATGAATCCGGCCCCACCGGTCAGCAAGATCCTTTTACGGTAGATGCTACCGTCGAATTCGGCCGTCATAGTCGTTTCCAAAAGGGCGTCGTCAGACGAATCTCTCCGTGAATTACAAGTGCCGAGTCGATCGTCTCTTGACAGGCCTTCCCTCGTCGCTGCCGATCACGTCCTCCTGTGAAACAGAGGATAACCGTCTCCTACCAGCTCTTTTCAGTCAACTGAGCTGAACATTGCACCACACACAGATTTACTTTTCATAGGAATGCAGCAAACTTCCGGGTTTTCGCAGAAGTGCTGGTACTCGTAAAACAATGTCATATTTATTGTAAAACTGGCTTGGAGGCTATACGGAAACATATCAATACGTAAAATCACAACGCTCTAATCTGATTGTACGAATTTCGAGTCGAATTATAAGCCAAGCAACTAACTTCTCCGGTAAGCCATGCAAAGATGATTAATATTCTCCATGTCTGGGAAAGTTCAATTTAGGAAATATATACGAAGTGCAGTCTTTTAAAAATGTGTACAAGGATAAAGGATGTGGGTACACTTTAAAAAAAAGAAAATAATATGATGACGTTATCGTGTCGTCATATCAAGCATTGATAAATCCAAAATTTTAAACAGGTTTACAAACAAAAGCGCAGAATTTTGTTGACGTCACATTTTTTCCACATCAGTGCAAAGCTTAAGAACTCTTCCACTAAAAAAAATTCACACGCCATTACGACGTCACATTAGATGAAGTAGAATCTGAATGGATTTCGAGGACTTCTGAAAACCCATGAATTTAAGGGTTGCAATAGCGCGCCCCAAGAGTCTGTAACGCCTCAGCCAATCAGAATGCGCGAAATCTGTCTACTCGTTTGGAAGAGGTCGACAGATTTCGCGCATTTTGATTGGCTTTCCAGACTCTTGGAGTCGCGCTGTTATGTATCGCCGGTATTAATTGAGACATTGAAAGATGTACTATTAACCTCCACCTGTGACGTCACGCTGTTGTTTTGCAAATCCATTATTTTGCCTTAATGGAGCAATGGAGGCGATACCTCTCCATTCTTTCGGATTCCGATTCCATTACTCTATTCGTGCTAAATAATGGAGTGGTGCCCTTCTTGGATAATAGACACGGGGAAGCGGAAGGGTTCGCACGCGTTGTGTGTACAACGGCCTGTAAGCCTATTCCATTTATTAAAAGGGGGTGTTCATAAGGAACCGTTTCATTTAAAGCTACAATCTCCAGAGTTTCCATTATCTACAAGGATAATTGAAGAACTTGTACCCCAGCCTTTTGTTTCATAAAGATTCTAGAAAAAGGATTCCCACTTCAGCTTCTTGATCCAGCTATGGATCCTTCAAGCGAACCGCTTACTCAGATAATGCACGCGCGGCGCTGTGATCTCCTCAAGTTAACACCCCTACATTCCATTCATAACAACGAATTAATTTGTCCTCACCGTCAGACTGTAGTCGTTGAAGGAAATCCTTCCCTTCAACATAACCATTTTGCACACCGTTATAAACAACGAGTGATGCGTCCCATTCAGATTTTGCCCGTTGCTTTTGGGTACGTATAAGAGTAAAAAATTCTTTACATTTGATCAAAAATCACTGCGCGTGGCGATGCAACACGCACAACCGACCGTCGCCACAGAAACTTCGGTAACAAAGTTGGCATGGCACAGTCAGAAGGAATTGCGGGGGAAAAAAAATCGATCCTGAAGACAATTTTCATCTCGAAAATTACCTTTTCTGATACAAGTGAAAGTCCCATATAAAAAACATATCATACGGATTTAAACACTCGGAGTCACAGTTGAAATTATCAACTAAAATAGTGCCGGCTGTCCGTGGATCATGTCCCATCTACACGCAGCTAAGAAACAATGGATGTGCATGCCGTCGCCGCACAATACTAAATGAGAAGAGTTTAAACGTAGAGGGCGCTTGACGCACAACACCATTCCGCCCCTATACACTGAGAATGATAACTAATAATGTAAATTTCAAGTATTTTTTACATTTCTTCAATCGGGTTTTGTACGCAGAAAAATCAAAAGGGTTTTTACACTGCTACACAACTACACTACAATGTATCTAACACCAGCATTCGCAGAGCATGGAACAGTTTTAAGAAGTCTAGGTGGACGGATTTGTTGCTTGTAGCTGGCAGTAATGAAGATTAACATTGAATAGTCTGTTGCGTCGGTAAGGGTCTCAGTGCTGAAGTATAACAAATGCAGGATATCTGTCTGTTTACACATTCTGTATTGGAGAACTCGTCATGACTTTGCAGGCCATGCTGACAACTTCCACAACAAGGCCAGGGAAATCAAGTCATGGAATGTAGCTCCTAGAAACTTGTTGTAGCTTTCGATTTCACAAATAAATCTCGGACATTTTTAGTAGTTTAGGTCATCCTTCTTGGAATGTTCAACGACGTTCAGTGACGAAGCTTCCTTTTTCACGGTGTTATCCACAGTTCTGTGATTAGAAGGGGGTGGTGGTTTACACCCGCTCGTCGAGTTATCCCCCCACAATTATTCCTTCGGTCTGACTTAACGGTCCATCATAGGGCCTGGAATGTTAGAAAATCGGCCGGTTCTATTCTAATTCTACATAAGGTGACACGTTCCACATAATATCCATGGATGTCATCAGTGAATGGTGGTCGTCGGAATCTCCATGCAGCAAAAGAAATCACTATCGCTGTGTCTTGTCTGGGCCATGCATGCATCTCAAAGTATGTTATGGAATGTATTACCTATTAAACAGCGCCTGACATCAGTTCTGTGCGGTTACATTTGTAAAGCCGGAACTATTGGCCTTACGTAAGAAAACGCTTGTACTTTTTACGAAAAACTGTGACTTCCCAGGTAAAGTCGCATACCCTGGGTGCCGACGTGGGCATACCCCTGGGCCCATTCTTACCTCCCCCCCCCCAGTGGCGCGTACCGAGGGTATTTATTGGCCATTATCCTTTACTTAAATTATATCCCATGCTCCGGATGAGTGAAACCTGCTCAAAAGGTCACCCGACCACCATGCCGGTTCCGCGTGACTGGCCGTAGATGGACACCACTGTCAAAGATTACACTTAAATGCTGAATTCCACGTCAAAATCATCAGAAAGCACTGAACACCAGATCATGAAAACGGTCCTTTAGGCTTTAGTTATTAAATGGATGACTTGTTACAAAAAATCCAGGATTATTGAAGTTAAATTCAACAGGAAATCTGATTTGTTTCTGCAGTTCTATTGAAGCATGAAGTTGGAATTACTTCTACAGCTGCAAGAAGCGACAGAAGAAAGAATGGAATTACCGAAAAGATGGCAAACTACGAAACCTCCGTGCTGATGCTGCAGTGCACGCGTTGCGAGACTTGAAAAAAAATCCTCTTGACACGGGGTCTAGGCAGATGGGTGCTCAGAGAGACATGTTTCAAGAAATACAAAATTTCGCCGTCTCTTTCTGTCTCTTTTGAAGGAGCGGTTGCAGAATTGTTAAAGACACAAGAAGAATTCTTGGAGAGTCCCGACCAGTAATGGACACAGCATGACAAGGACCTGTTGATCAGCAGGCTCTGCGATGATAATGGATGGCAAACCCATTCACTTCATAGTAGGCTTGTTGAGCAGCTGATCCTGAGGTGTGGTCGTATGCGGGTGCCATATGATGCGACAAATCGACACCATGCGTCCTCCATTCCTCGAGCAATAAAACAGCATAATTCTGCGTTCCAGCGTTGACAGTAAAGTATATAGGTGCTAGACAATGAAATATCTTTTAGACAATGTTCATCAAGTCTAAATTACACATTGCTTAATGAATTTGGGTAGTTGTAATTGTTTTTATATCTCTTGTAATTGCATATGTACCATAATTGTTTTGATAATGTCCACTGTTTTTGTATGCGAGCCTTTTGATCACCTTTGTGGGATGCAATAAAGATTCTTGACTTAACTTGACTTGGATAGGGCCTATCTGGTCTTAAATAACCGAGCTGTTTCTTAAAAAACGTACCTCAAAGTGACGTGGGTCCAAACCAGTCGATACTCAGGTCATTCTTTGTTTGATCGTGTCGGAATAGTCTGTAAAAAGATTTAATTTAGCTGGGTCCTGAAGCCCGGAGCAAAACCCGTATGTGAGAAGCAGTAAAATGAAACAAGAAGCAGGGCATGACTCACGTTCACACTAATGAGGGCGCTCCTTGCGCGCCCACGATAATGCTGCCGCAAAGCTAGCCCTTGGCCGGCCTCGTAGGCCTGCGGTACGGTATGCATGATGAGTTCAAGTTTGACAGTTTTCCAATTGTATTTGTTTAAATATTTCTTGTTTGGTAATTTCAGAGGATACTTTAATGCGAAATTTCTGGGTCTAGGGACCTACTCGGGCTACTCTTCCCAGGATTATTTTGGGGACAGGGTCGCGATCAGAGACAGGGTCATCCTTTTGGGGGAAGAAGGTAATGAAATGGACAGATTTTAATTATTCGATCACACGGCGCCGGGAACATGAATTTTGTCGCTCGAATGCTTGGAAGTTATAGCGCCCCCACGCCATTCGCAACGCTTAAAAAAGCCAAGTTAATTAAATGGCTCGCTTTGTCGCACGGTCAGTGGGGTACCAGGATTCATTTAGTCTTTTGTTTCCCGATTTTAATTGAGTTAGACAACGAAGTGGGAAGCTTAGTTACGTAGGGAACACATTTGAGGTGTTTGGGTATTTTTATTTGTTTCTTAGTATTTAAACCTTATACAGTTTATTCGTTGTAGAAGCGTTGCTATTAGGGAAATTTTAATCTTTGTTACCATTTGTTTTGCTTTTGTTTTTCTGATTTATTGTTTATCTGCTTGTTCCTATTTCGTAGGTTCTTAATTTCCCAATAGTGTTTAATGTTTGGTTTGTTTCTTGTAGTCTTGGTTCTTTCAGGGTAGTCTTCAATTTTCCCCCGGGGGAATTCTCCTCTGCATTTAGGAGACATCAGCAGTGTCAACATTTTGGCCTAAGACCGTTGACGATTTGATTAGGTTCCTAATTTTCCTAGGTTTTTAAATATTTGATTTTGGGGGGTTTTTTGGTCGTGGCTCCTTGCAAAGTAGTTTTCGATATTTTTTTTCTCTCCTAATTTTTTGCTGGTACATCAACAGCCTGTCAACATTTATGACGTACGTACTTCAGCACAATCAGAGAAAGGAATTCCTAAATAGTGCAAGTTGTCACCGACCAAGGTTACTTGAGGAAAACACAGTTATTCGACGGTTTGTGGTCCGTATGTGCTCTGCATTGACGAAGAAAAAAAACAGCGGTGGTCTTTATTTGTACAGAACACGCATAACTTAAACGTGAGGACTGATGACTGAGTTCCAAACTGCAAGTTCACCGTCGATGGTCTCTTCACACCTGAATAGAACGACGGTGCAACATGGTGGAACTGAGAGCGGCAGGCATGGCAGCTGAAGAACGGTAAGTCGGGGTGTTACGTGCCGAGGAAAAGCTGTCTTGAATTTCAGTAGTTTAGATCAGAAATTGAGAAAACGGAAGTTGTAGTCTCGTGCGTCATCTGACTGATGTGATAGTTTTACTTCATAATGGAGGATGACAGCGCCATTTTGTCGACGGCAGGTTACGAATGTGTACGCTGGAGTTGGTTGTGTAGGATTTGGGATTGTAAAGTCACAGTTCTGGCCTGAGGAACGGAATAATGCGAATTGAACTTGGTGAGAATTTCGGAAATCGGGGAGTGAGCCTATTTCGTGAGTTGTGGGCATCCAACTTTTCGGGGGTTAGCAATAAGTTGTATTTCGTCAAAGGCCTAGCTTGCTTCAGGATGCAAAAAACTTGAACTTGTCCGTCCACGTTCAGTTTCCAGCTGATGTACTCCAGATTCATAACTGCATGTAGTCATTTGGCTCAGGTTAGGATGATTAAAACAAGATTCATAGGACTAGTTAAAGGACATGTTTGAAGAAATAGTTGACAAGGCGTAACCTTGGGACATAACATACCGGAGCTGCTTGGATCCAGGGTTGGCAGAGGACGGGCATTATTTTAAGATGTCTGTAATTTTTTCCTTAAATTTTCCTAATTTCTGTGCACCAAGTAAGAGTGAATTCTCCATGTTACGCCCCCAGATACACTAGTGCGAAGTTGATATTTTATTACTTTTGTCAGAGATATTCCCATTTTGGCCATGTTGCTCTCCTCTTCGCCTTCCATTGGGCCGTAAACCTGGTTAATTACCCCAATGCGTAAACCCAGATACTGGTATTCTGAAAAAAAAACTTTCAACTTAGATGGGAAAATATAGTTGAGCTTTGCATACAAGCCAATCAAAGTGACATTTGAGTATTGATAGTCTGTCAAATTTGTTACGGTTTTTGCACAGTTCACCTGATAATTGATTGGCTGTGTAGTGTAAGCTCTCTGCATCAACCCCCCCCCCATTAAACCCCCCACGTCTGATCCTAGCCCAAAATATTGAAGGAAAAAAATTCCAACAGGTGTCAGAGCGTTTGCCAACCTTTGGACTGCAGGCTTTTTTTTTGTCGTCCAAAGATGAGCGATTCATTGTGGCTGCACTGGAGCATTCAATTTCCATTCACCGTTACAGGTGCGGTAAATTGCTTGGGGGCAGACCAGGTTGAGTTCATGAACAAAACCAAATGTAGGCAGAAAACCAGCCTGGTTTTTTCCATCCATGAGAGCAAAGTAGACTCACTGAGAGCACACTTTGAACGTCAAGTTCCGATAACTCATTTCATTTCCATTTTTGTCGGGAAATTTTTGATAAAAAAAATTGTCAGAACTCTGTTTAAAAGCACTCTGCAAATGTTACATGCACTTTAATCCAGGATCAAACACGGTCAAGCAGGGACATCCCCCCCCAAAAAAAGCTTTTTTTTTTTTAATGAAAGAAGTTTTTGATTTAATTATTTTATTAGTTTATTTCCCGTCCTTCAAAGAGTTTGTTAAAAGCCCCAATAAAAATGTAGCCTCACCCCTCATCAAGGCCTAAAAAGGTTGCATGAAAAATTTCCAAAGTTTTTGGCCCCCTGAAAAACAATGTTGCCCCTCCCCCAAAAAATTTGGGTCTGGGTCCGCCCCCTTGATGCATACATGTACACAAGTTAAATATTATCCATCTATAGCAGTCTTATCTACATGTAGTTACATACATGTATGATGCATATATATGCATATCACTGTTATATAGGCCTGCCGCAAAATCAGTCAGGGATGAATTTCATGCAACCTTCCACTGGAGAACAAGTGCATAGCAGATTTTCATGCTGAGCAATAAAATAAGCTGAGAACCAGTTGCAAACACTGTATATCAGTTGATACTTTGGCTGGTTTGCAGCTGCTCTACTGTAAGCAGAACTAGTCCGTGCTAAGCCCCAGGTGTCCGCTCATTATTGATTTCCCAGACTGATAGTGCTGTGCAAATGCCTCTGACTTCACTGTCGTAACGCCAATTGATTTTTTTTTTCTCCTTCTTCTTTCATTGTTTCCTGTTTGTGTGTGCTGTGTGTGCCATTTAACAGGACATGGTACTCTGCGTTTGTAACGACAGGAGCACACGTCCATCAACAGTTGTGGTCTTCCTGTTTGTGTTCTTTTCAAAGCTCTTGAATTGGCGCCTGAACTCATTTTGCCATCACCTGTTGATTAGGAGGAAAGATGGTCAGGAGTGTTCAGTGGTAGTGACATGCTGGACTAACACGGATCGGCAACAGAAAGTAGACTCATCAGAGATTCCAGCTATTGAGTGTTTCCTTCCTCGAACTTGTCCTAGGGACTATAAGGACAGTTAGGAATTTTAGGAACATTCCAACGTATGAACACTTGCAGAGGATCAAAATCTGGAAAATCAATTGGAACATCAAGCACCAAAATGGAATAATTTTGCTGCAGAGTAATACAAGCCTCGTGACAGAATAATCTCTCCTGAGCAGATCTTTTTTTCAATTGGCTGTGCATGGCCACTTCAGGCGAATTCACCGGGCAGATTTGGAGTGTTTTGAAAATCAGGTTAATGCTACAAAAAGTATAAAACCCCAACTTATCAGGGGGTCTTGGAATGGCTGTGCTTGACTGTTGTCATTCTCATCTCTTCCACCCAATTGGATGGTGACTTGAGACCACATTGGTCACGATAACCTCAGGTGATAAGAGGTTTTCCACCAGCGGGACATACTTGGCTATATTCACTGCCCAGGAAAGAGAGGGGAATATTTATATTTATTTGGAAAGCGCTACTGTTTTGTCTTGTTGTCTTGGGCAAATACGCACTTTGCATGTTTGCATTGACGATAATGAAAGCAAACAAGCCATAGAGCCTGTGTTGGGGGCGATGGGGTCTCGCAGCAGGTTCTTTGCCAGCCAGTGTTCCCTGACGAGTTGTCAATACTGGCAGGCAGCACACGACCACCACACGGTGCTGAATCACCAGATATGGCCAGTGCACGAGGACGACGTGCGAATGCTGTGACGAACAGGGACAGTGCCAGCATGGAGGGCCCAGGGACTCCTCAGACGCAGGCCTTGCCTTCCAGAATTCCTGCCCCGACATGGAGAACAACAGCCAAAGTTAATGGAACTGATGCAGCAGCAGCGAAGGTAACAGTGGGTACCCCCAGATCAGGTATTCGTGCTCCACAGGTGCGGACCAACCCACGGGTTATGAGGCAGGGAGTGCACAGTAAAGCAGACAGCAAAAGCTCCAATGACTCCCACTCGGCGACAAGTCCAAAAGTGTCCAGATCAGAGCTGGAATTTGAAGGGGTTGGGGCCGTCTCACGGGAGAATCTGTCCCCCCTCTCGCCATCCACAACTCTCACCCGGCAGGGGGCTTTCAGATACGGGCGTGGAGTCAAGCCACTTGAGGTTCTCAATTTTGGATCAGGAGCGTCAACCGTGCCTCGGATGCGGCCCAAAAAAGTCAGAGACCCAAGGAACTTGGGTGAGGTGTTTGAAACTCCCTCAAAGGAGGATGTGGGGAAATCGCAAGCCTCAAAAAAAGATGAACGGCCAAAACATGACCAGTCTACCACCTCAACAAGAAAGATTTCTCAGAGGCCACAAAGTCTCGGAAGGGTCACTGGAATCAGGCAAATCTCCCAAGAGAGCGTGGATAGCAAGAAGAGCCAGCAAATAGATCCTAAGCCAGCAGGTCCTAGAATATCTAAGGGCATCAAAGGGGGAACTGGTCGTTCAAGAGGGACTGATGTTAAAAGTGAAATTAAAAGTCCTGAATTGCTTGTCAAACGTCAACCTCAAAACACTGCAACCTTGGAAGATTCAGGTTGCCAGAAGCAAATAAACAGAACTGTAAAACAATCACAACCGTCTACTAGCAGAGCAGCAGCTGATACAAAGGCCATTCCTATACCAACAAGGTCTGTAAAAACAGAGCAAAAGACAACAGAAATATCTCCCAAGGCACCACCCAGAAGGCAACGTACTCTACCGTCAGCAACTAACGGACTGTCAGCAAGTCGGACTCCTATTTCGAAAACTTCAAAATCCTTTCAGGAAACAGGTAGCACAGGAAGTTCATCTGGCACTCCCACTCCACCTCCAAGACACGCCAAGCCTGCCGGTACCAATTCAGCCAGTCCCAGACCCATCCCCACAAACATACCCAGGCCTCAGAGTCTAAGGCGCAGGGCATCGCAACAACCGGGACCGACGCAGTCCATGCTGTCCCCCAGGAACTCGCTCCCAGCTCCCACCAGTGTCAGACTCTCTGACAAGCCGTCTCTAAGCTTCCCACAAGGCGGTGGGTGCCGCAACCCCGTAGCTGCAACAAAGAGCAGCGACGAAAGGCAGAGGTCACATTCCGCCAGCCAGATTCCGGTCCATGTCTTGCGCCGGTCCAGCCTTCCCCCAAACCGACCTGTCAAGCTGAGGCCCAGGGCTCCCCAGTCAGACAGGCCAAGCTTGATGTTCCGGCTGAGTTTGGACGGGGCAGACAGTGGCACGGAGAACTCGTCCTCACTCACCACCACACCGTCTGAGTGCTCAGTCGACGTTGACCAGTCGTACGAGGAAGGATCCCCAGTTAGCCAAACTGCACCTTCAAAGTTTTACTCAATATCAGGGCTCGGGCTTAAACCCAAAGACACATCCACATCAGGGGATAAAGAAAACATGGAGTTGGAAGATTCAGCAAAGACTGCAACAGATAACTCGCCCGTGGAAGTCATGGAGATTTCACAACTAACAACAGGCACTGATGAATGCCTTGAAGAAGAAACTGTCACTCATTCACCATCCTCATTGACTGTCCTGGTCTGCCAAGATCAAGAAAAGACAATGGAAGAGTTTCATTTTGATAACGATGAGTCCACCACACCCAAAAATGAGAACTCAGACTGTGCTACCTCAGAGATAAAACTACCCGAAAATGAGACTGTACTCTCGGGAATTTCTCCACCAAATCTTTTTAACAGTACAGAAAAAGTTAGTCGGCAAAAATTAATTTGTCCCGTTGAAGTGGTTGATCCTGTGGAATTGTTACACAGCAGCAGCAATTCTATTGACAGAGATAAATCAGTGGACCATTCCTGTTCAAGTATTAGTGATGCAGAAAGGACCTTTGAAACCTCCTCCAGAACTGTCCTAAGTCAACAGTCCAAAGTGAGTTCCTCACATAGAATTAGTGTATTCCTCAGAGGCGAACCCGGTGCAGAGCCTCCAAAAGCCTCCACTTTTACCCAGAGCAGGCGAGGGAGAGAGATAGCCCTGAAGGTTGCCCGGGGAGACCTCAAGGCCAGCTCGGTGGATGGCGACGGGGAAACCTTGTTCGAGGCTGTCACCGGTAAGCACCAGAGTGGAAAGAACGTCACTGGATCTCGTCAGGTTTCTGCAGAGAAGGCAACCAAAGAGGACCTCAAGGCTAATTCTGTGGACGGAGATGGGGAAATCTCACATGCAGTTGCAACGGCCATCCGCAGGACTGGGGAAGACCTCAGAGAACCACATGAGAATTTACCAGTTCCATCCATGGTCGCAGCTGACAAAGAAATGCCAGAATCAGAGGGAACCGCCTGTAGCTCAGGTAAGAATTTCCTCATTTTTTAATGGAACACAAATGCTGTTTAAAAACTGAATTGTTATTGGGACAGAATTTTAGGGAGGAACACAAAATGTCAAAGGGAAAGTTGATTGGCTGGGCCCAGACCATAAGCAGTGTATTTTGTTGTAAAGAAATTTTCAAAGACTGGTACACGTGCATGTATCTTTATAGTATTTCTGTGTATTTTTGCACATGTAGCCTGGTATCTGAAATAATAATTTTTTCGAGTCCAGAAGCTTCCATAGCGAATGAAACGATTGGAGTGCAGTCTTATCCGCTCCGAGCGGAGCAAAAGAGGGCGTGTGCTATTTTGGTACTCACTGCATAGGTACGCCATGAGGCGCGCAAATATAGGCCTATGAGCATTTGACGTAGAGCACGCTTAGTACACATAACTAATTTATTTCAGCATGTATGGTCTTTGCGTACACGCAGAACGCCTGCAAGAACCCACTTGTAACCACCTGTCTCTCTTTCGCCGATTGGGGTGTACTTCAGCTGGGGGCAGACACATGTGTATTTAACTTAACGTCATCTGTTTGCAAAAATAGTCTGTATTTTCTCAAATGGTACCCTCAAAAGGGCACAAAGGGTTTAAACAGGGCTTAAAACATTCCAAACTCAGCCGATACACATATGTCATAACCAGGGTATTGTATCCTTCCCCTGTTCCACGCCTTTTTTCAAACCTCGACCACTGCTTGTCAGTCAATGTGTGACAGTCGGAAAATCATGCTACTTCCTAAAACAGAAATCAGAGATAATGTGAAGTGCAGTCTATGTCACCGTACACTGATTTTGCTGACTAGTTGCCGCTGACAAAGCTAAGTTCTTTCACTTTTCACGGTCACATTTTTTTTCACATCGTGCACATCTACGGTCAGGGCCAGACAAGCAGTTTAATGCAGTTTCCACTGCATTAAATGACATCATTTCCTCCAACATTTGGAAGAATGATGCCTTATTTAACCTTGTGGTCAAGGCGTAGAGTGATTGTGCCCAGAGACTGCATTGAGGGAACGACGACAATAGTGAATTATTAATGTTTGAAATGCCGCATGTTTGCTTGTCTGTAATCCATCCACATCTTCACCATTTTTCATACGCTACTGCTTAAAATAATCTCAAGCTTCCTTCAGTGCAGCTGTGACCTTGAACATGGTTATTTTGGCATGCTGAATAAGCAGTGCGTAGGCTGTGTTAAACATGTGCAAAGCATACTGAGCTTGACTTTCAAAGGAAATTATGCATTATTCTATTGGGCCTGACTAGACATGAATGTTATGAAAGGAAACAGCTGATAACAAGATGTATCAAGTCTTTGGCGAATGTCTCATTTTTGTGAAAATGTTGAAAGGAGGCCCAAGAGTTATATGTGATGTAATTTTGGATGATAAAAGTTTTAAAAAGACATACAAAAATGGTAAAAAAAAGAGGAAAAAAGGGGGTTGAAAATACATGTGTTTGTCAGTTTCACGGAGGTAGAGAGTTTTTGCCATGGTGATGTTAAAACATGCGCTTACTGCTGTGGTATACAGTTGGCCTTGAAATGGGTTGAGATCTTTTGTACCTGTATGAATAGGTAATTTTCCCAGAGTTGAGATTTTCATCTTGCAGAGCCCTAAGTCAAAAAAGTACAGACATAAAAGTGCAGTACTGGAAACACGGTCCATACCTCTGTTGGTATGTGACTACATAGACAATTACTGGAATGTATGTACATCTGTCCTTCACCTTTGTTGTGGGATACACCTGTGTGTCAGATGTAAATTAGTAAGCTAGCTGGCCCAAAAGCAAGCTCAGTGGTTGCACATTCTGGCACCTTAGGGGTTTTTCCCGATTCCAGGAATTTGTCTGCTGACAAGAATGTGGATTTCCAAAGGTCTGATTTCCAAAGGTCTGATCGTTCAATTTGGTGCTTTTTTTGCAATTTGTAGCAACGGAATCAAGTGCAAGATTCATGTAATCATAGCCGTCTGAGAAAAAAATGTTTGTCAAGTTTGTGCCTTGACAGATACTGAAAGCCCCGTAAAAGTCACTGTTGTCATTGCCACTGTCCATTGTTGTCATTGTCACTGTTCATTGTTGTCATTGTCACTGTTCATTGTTGTCATTGTCACTATTTCACTGTTGTCTTTCTCACTTCCCATACTCTAGATGGTTTGTGGGTTTCTCCTTATCTGCCAATCTCACCTTTAGCACGCATAAGACTCTGCAGGAGGTCTTGGGCTTAACATCTCGTGCGAGTGGCTCATGTCTCCCACAAACTTGTAGATTTCACACAGGAAATAGTTACCACACACTTGTTTGAATTTACATGTAGCATTGATGAAAGAAAAAAGCCACAAGTTCTTAAATGCCATCATTTACATGCACATGTATTATAGTCAACAGAATTTCTGGGAAAACTTCATGCATTATCATAGTTCAAATCTTTTACGCAGTGAACAGCAAAAGTAAAGTACTTTTAGTATATCAGCTGCATACATGTACATTTCCTTGAAACAATTTTTCTCCCATTTTATTCAAATCAGAATTTGACCAAGAGAATCAAAATGAGATGAGATCAAGGCTTATTTTGGAACAAAAATAGAACTAGGGTATCAGCCAGTAGGAGGGTATAAGTTCATATAAGTTTGTGACTCATATCTGGTGAACGCTCAGATGTGATTGTGGTTCTCACACTGAACAACAGTTTAGGGCCATAAACGCCCCCGACTGTGTGTGCCTTGAATTTGTGGAACAATTTTTTTTAGTGTTCCACTTGTTCCCGAGAACAAATACAGTTAGATAAACTTCCCACCCCCAGGAAAACATGTCCAACTCAAAGACAAACACTTCAGTTTTCAGTGTGTCTTTTTTTGTGAGTGTTTCCACCCAGCGGTTTGTCCAGTCTCTTCTTATCAGATGGGAAAAAAAACGGAAGGGGAAAATGGACGCCCCCCAATAAAAGGAAAGAAAAACAAGTTTTACCGCTGTAAAATTACTGCAGGCTCTAACTTTTGTCGGCTGAAATTTGTTATGAAAAAATACATTTTACCCTGTCTGAACCAGTTTTTCCATGGGGAGTTTGTTTTTCTTTTAGTTCTTTCGATCAGACGGATTGAGAACTGAGCTTGTGCAAAAAAGAGCAGAGTCCTCCTGTGATGGTCGTTAACATACTAACCAGATCCATGGAAAATTTGTACAATGTAGCCCACCTTGACAGGTTTTGTGGTACAAAATACCTGCACTGTTTGCTCATAGGCTGCGTTCACCTATGCTCCTTCGTGACCTTGGAGGTTGTTTTTCTCTTTTCAAATCAGTCATGTGCATACCTGCGGACTTGTACATACATGTAGGTGTCCACGCCTCGACACACAAGTCTGAGCAGAACAGTTCCTAACCAACTTCGCCCGTGCAAGTTCAGAACATTTCCAGTGGCGTGTCGGCTGTCAAGCACCAGTGATGCAGCGTGCATGCCCGTGACAATAGCCCTATTCATAAACCATATGTGCGACAGAAGGGAGGAGATTAACCATGAATCGTAGGCTGATCCCCCCCCCCCTCCCCGCAAGTGTTTTCTTCCAGACCGGCGCACATTTTGAAAAACCGAAGAATGTCAGTGGCGTGTTTGACACAAAAGCTCATTTTTTTAACTGACGTTTGTCAGGAAGTACCGTGAACTCCTCATTGGGATACCTGTAAAATATGTCTGTGAGGGTTTAGCTACCGGCACAGTTTACGCAAGATCTTCAGAAGGCTAAAAGACAAAAAAAATTGAGAAAAGTGACCACTGCAGGGTGTTCGGTTAAATAGCCACCCAAGAAACCTAGAAAACTGTAAGTTGAAGCTGTGTGCTTTGCCAGAGTGCTGAGACTTTTCTAGCTTTCTGTGTTTGAGATCTGATTGACAAACCTGTGTGTGTGGTACGGGTACATCGCTGTTGGTGAATTTCAGTGAGTGCCGGTTGGTGAGACCATATTATCGGCATTATGAGCAAGTTTCGTGGGTTTGGGATGAAAACGACCCTCTAGAAGATGTATATACACCAGCTGAGCATGTCTTAACCCAATTTCCCAATAATTAAGCCGGGTTAGTGAACAGGGTACTGACAGCCACATAACTTTTCTGCAGAAGACTAGAGGCTTATCATGTGGAAGCTAGAAGCTGCCATACTGCCACAAAAGGCCCAGCTAACCCCCTCACCCTGAGCTGAAGTGCACCCCCAATCGGTGAAAAAAAGACAGGTGGTTACAAGCGGGTTCTTGCAGGCATTCTGCGTGTACACAAAGACCATACTTGTGTACATGCTGGAGTAAATTAGTTACGCATACTCAGCGTGCTACCCGTCGAACGTGCATATACTTGTGCGCGTCATGGCGCACCTATGCAGTGAGTACCCCAAAAAAGCCCTCTTTTGTTCTGCTCGGAGCGGATAATTGGCAAAAGCAGGACTTGTCAATTCAGCCAAGATGTTAATCATACTGCAGCATCGAGTACATGTGTCCGAGACAGAAACCACACCACAAGCAATGTCGAGGACATAATTGGAATTGGAGGAGGACTTGGATGAGAAATCCTGGGGGAGGGGATACTGTTGCTCATCCCCCCCCTCCCAGTCTAAACATGGCAGGGGGTGATTAGACAGTACATTGCAATGGGAAGTTAACCTCAAAACGGGGCAGACATTTCGCACTTTTTCTCATCCGGGAAAATGAATATTCATTTCTCAAATTGTGAAAACAAAATTTCCCCCTTGGTGGTTTCACAGCTGCTTTTCACAAATGGGAAAAATTTTCACAAAGCGGGAAAGTTTTTTGCAGCTTTTTTTTCACGAGTGGGAAATTTGCCTGTGATTGGGAATTCTTTCCACAATTTTTCCCAGTCGTTTTCATCGCAGGGTTAAGTTTCAACTGCAATGGAATCTAAATGTATGTCCCCACCTCCTGTGGAC